TACTCCCCGATTAAATCCGGCCTTTCGGGACGAACCCCCCAGAGATGCGTGAAGACGGAGGAGGGATCGATCAGGGTAGGGGGGAGGGGCGAAGTGTAGATCTTGCCAATGGGAGACATTAATTCGAGATTTTGAGAAGCACAAGCCGCAGGGAGGGAAGACAAAGATGAAGACAAGGAAGCGGGGATCGAGAGGCAGCACAGGGTAGGCCAGGGTATATAGGCTACTTTTATACCATTCAAGGTTCTGTCATGATATAAATTGCCAATGTATTTGTATCTCCTGAATGCTCCAAGGAGAAGACACGAATGATCACGGGAATTCTTGTTCGTACCTGTAAGATAAGGGGGGAACCAAAGTTGAGTGACGAGCGTCAAAAAGTATTACAATAATACCCTCGCATGCCACTTGACTGACAGCCCGGATCTTGGTAGTGTAACACAAATGTAATCAGCGCCACACACCAACTCAAAAACACACACAGGTACGTCTAGAGTACTGATCTTTCAGGCGCTGGATCGCCTTATCTCCACGTCTTTCTTGCCGCAAGGTATGTGAATGAGCTAAGCATCAAACTCTCAATCACCGGAGCACGTCCCAACTTCAAAGTATGTGAATGAGCAAAGCATCAAACTCTCAATCACCGGAGCACGTCCCAACATTAACTATAAACTCACTCTAAAAACCGGAATTTTATTCGCACGAGACTCTTTCCCTCTTTCTCTGGACCGGCCTCCGTACCGACGCAGCGTGCGAATCCAGAAAACATGCGTGGGCCACGAGAATCCAGATCGCCCGACGACGCTTTTGGGTTTCAAGAGTGTTCCAACGATAGGACCTGAAGAAAGCCTTACTGTTCTGGATGCAGTGTCGCGTTGATACATCAGAAATACAGTGGGACTAATGCCGTGATTCGACGACAGCATCAAGTACCTGCCTGAATATGACGACACTAAACAGAAAAAAGAAGACTTTTCTTCCAACTCCCTACTCCAATCCATAAGCACTCGTTTGTTCTTCCAAAAGAAATTCTGCAGTAAGTACGCACTCACATCCACTGCTTGCACATTCACAGAACACAAAGCGGGGGGATATAAGTATAAACAATCTCCCTTGAACAATCTAGTAAACTTAAGATATAATCTACAGTGCCCAAAAACACTGCTTGGCGTGCACGAACACGAACAGGCACAGAGACAAAGCGCCTTAAGGCCACTCTCCCCCACCCGTCTGAACGCATCCCAAACCAACCGAGCTACAACGCCATAAACACTAATCCCCCGCACACGAAAAAAAAGGAAAAACACTCACATAACACTCAGAGCTCAGCTTAAAGCTTCGCCTCGCCACCCTCCGCACCAGGATCGCGCCCCTCCAGTTCAGCCTTTGCCCTTTCGCGCAACTCCCGACGGAGGATCTTCCCAGCGGCACTGGCGGCGCAAGTCAACAAACACCACGCGAACAGGCCTACGCCCACAAAAAAAAAATCCCAAACACCCACCTCTTCGGCACGACATCAACAACCACCACGCCGCCCCTCAAAAACTTGTGCCTTGCGACGCGGTCCCGCGTCCACGCGCGCACCGCCCGCCCGAACGCGGCGCGGTCCACGTCCGTCCTGAGCGTCTCCGGGCGCGCGGGGACGACGTACGCACTGCGTGTGTGTGTGGCGTTCGTCAGTGTTGTTGGTGAGATAGTGTATGGGGAGGGGGGCGACTCACCGCGGGAGCTCGGTCGCCTGGCTCGTGCTGTACACCCCGATCACGGCGGCGTCTGCGACGTCGGGGTGGTTCAGCAGTAGGCCTTCGAGTTCGGCGGGCGGGACTACGAACACGCGTGTCAGATGATTCACTGCCTGCGCGTTTTTTGCGGATCACGACGTACCTTGGAAACCCTAAGTATCACGAAAAAAGCAAAGCCAGAAGAAATGATGAGGTAAATCAAACAACGACACGACAGGGGGGAGGGGACGCGACCTTGTACTTAATAAGTTCCTTCCTCCTATCGACGATATAATAATACCCCTCCGTGTCCCGAACCGCTATATCGCCGGTCTTGAACCACCCATCGGGGGTGATAGAGTCCCTCGTCGCAGCCGCGTTATTAAGGTACCCCTACACGCACGCCGCGATCAGCACGCAGCTCCACATCCGCATCCGCATCCGGGCGTACCTTCATGATCGACGGCCCGCGGACCCAGAGCTCGCCCCGCTCGCCCTCGTTCGCGTCGACATCGCCGCGCCCACCCCCGTCTCCGTCGACGACGAGGCGCGCCTCGAGGTTGGGCAGCAGGATGCCGATGCTCCCGACTTTGCGGAGCGCGTCGGGGGTCGGGAGGAGGTGCGTCGTCGGAGAGGTCTCTGTGAGGCCGTACCCTGCGCTCCGAACCCAAAATGATCAGCGATCTAGGCGGAAGAAAAGGCACGGCACAGCACGCTGACCTTGGAGGATCGCGAAATCGCCTTTCCCGTTGCGCCGCGCGTGCAGGCGTTTCGTGACCTGCTTGACGAGGTCCGGGCCGAGCGGGGCTGCGCCGGAGAAGAGCGTCTCGAGGGACGAGATGTCGTACGTGTCCACTGCTGGAGATGTACGCGGGTCGGTGGTGATGCGGACGTGTGTGTGTGTGGGGGGACGAACCTGGGTGGCGGGCGAGCACGACGAGGACGGGGGGCACGATGAGGGCGATGGTGATGCGGTAGCGCTCGATGTGCGCGCAGAACTTGACGGGGTCGTAGCGCGGCATGATGACCAGGGGGACGCCGCAGAGGAGGGGGAAGTGGAGGTGCTTGACCATGCCTGTGGGTGCCATTGGAGGATGTTTTTATGCGCGGAGGGAGGGGAGAGGTACCGTAGATGTGGTAAAAGGGCAGCATGCCGAGCATGAGGTCTTTGCCTGGTGAGAGCTTGGGGAAGGCAGACTTGACGCTCTCTTGGACACAGTTGATGTTGAGATGCGTGGTCTAGACGCGTTCAGCTCGGGATAGTCAAGTGGGAACGCGATACCGACCTCGACGCCCTTTGGTTTGCCCGTAGTACCTGCACGCTCATGAGTGAGATCAGAGACCTGTCGCGAGACTACATACCAGAGCTATAGCACAGATACACAGTCTCGTTGGCTTGATCTCCGTCAAACCTCTCTTCATGATCGAGCTTTCCACCTGCGTTGATCAAGCCCGCAAGCGTCTTGAGTCCTTTGGCTGCGTCTGCCCTCGACGCGGGCGGACCGCCGGCCCACTCCAGCCCATTCTCCAGCACTACGACGCGCTTCCTCGCTTCGTGCTCGGATACGCCGAGGAGCTTGAACATCTCGAAAACAACCGGAATCAGATCCTCCGCGACGAAAACAAGCCTTGCACCGCTGTCTTCATACTGAAACTTGAGCTCTTTGGGGGTGTACGCGCTGTTCGCAAGCGTGCATCGGAGACCTGCGGCGACTACACAACAGCTGACGTTTGATACCCGACGGGACCGTTGTACGTACCAGACCCAAAAAGCGCAGGCGGCCAGCTCAAGGAGTTTTGCGAGAAGATCAAGACGACATCACCTCTTCTCGCGTTGATCTCCGGGTGTGATCGCAGGGCGCACCCGACGCGGAGGGCCAAGTCCCTGGCCTGGGCCCTGGTGAGGGCTGCGCCCGTCTCGGCGTCGACGTACGCCGCGAGACTGCCGGGGTACTCTCCGACATGGTGTGGCTTGCCGGGCGGCGTGCCCCAGAGATGGGTGAAGACGGACACGGGGGCGATAGGGGTGGGCGGAAGGGGCGAGGTGTAGATGTTGGGGGGCATGGATGGAAGACGCAGGGCTGGGCTGGATTTATACCGCGACCGGGCCGCTGGATTTCACGTTCGGGGGCCGCTCTCATCGCGCACACGTGAAGTCTATCACTGCGGCGTGACAGCGTGACGTGTCGCAGTTATTTTGTGCAGTCATGGCGTCGCTGCTGGAGCGCATGAAGATCGCGCCCGCTGCAGGCCCCGTCCGCCACAAACCACACAGCCGCTCGTCGCCCTACGTGTGTCTCCCGTCTTTCTCGCAGACGCCCTCTCATTGCCCCGCAGACCCGCCAGCGCACCCCGCGCGGCAACATCGACTCCCAGTGGACACACGACCTCTACGACTCGGGCTCCCTCTCCGCCCGCCTCGGCTCCAAGCCCGCCCCGCCCCGCCTCAGCATCCCCGCCATCACCCAGAAAGCCCTCCGCGACGCAACCGAGCCGTCCCCCCGCCCCCGCCCCAACCCAGGCGACCTCTCCATAAAAGGCGCCTCCTCCTCTGCAAACGTCGTCGAAGTCGCCAACCTCCTCTCCGGCACAACCCCCAACGACGTCGCCGCCATCTTTGGCTCCTGCGGCGAAATCACCGCATCCCGCCTCGTCACTCCCGCAGACGCACAGTCCCCCCGCATCAGACTCACCTACAAGTCTCCTGCACACGCCGCCGCCGCCGTCGCAAAGTTCAACAACCAGCCTGCAGACGGCAACGTCCTCAGCGTCCGCATAATTGGCGCCACCAGCGCTGCCGCAGGCCTCGGCGTCAGACTCGGCGGTGCAGACGGCCTGGGTCTCGTCAGGCAGGAAGGCAGTGTAGATGTACTCATGGATTCTTCAGAGGATTCTGGCTCGTGCGTTTTTCCGTCTTCTTTCCCGCAGCGTATTAACCCCCCTCTAGCAAAATGCGCTCAGACTCTTTGCGAAGCGATCCCCGCGCTCAGGTCCTCGTCGCACCGCCAGGCGCCAACCCAGCTGATTACACACAGGCCGCCACTAATTCAGGGAGCAGACGCGGTGGTAGGAGCGGGAGGGGAGGCGGCCGTCGAGGCAGGCGAGGCCTCGGGACTCGTATGGACACTGATTAATTCCCTTTGTTTTCCTATATCATTGTACTTTTTGCTGACTCTTGTGTGTTAATATTTCCTGGTACATAATTAGACTTTGCCCTGTGGCAAGCCCGCTCGTTTTCTTCGTCTTTCAGACGATAAAAAGAAATTGCTACTTCTTTTATGACAACTGTGAGGTTCGAACTCACGCCCTTGCGGACTGGATATGGGAAAGATCCTAATTCCAGCGCCTTAGACCACTCGGCCAAGTTGCCATATCTATCGTGCCTCATTCAACAATCAGATACAGTCATAACTCAATTCCTGAATAAAAAAAAAGAGCCAAACATATTCTATAGAATGTCGGGAACCACCGACCCATCGACACCTCCTGGAAACTAGAAGCGACGATATAGGGTGCTAAGACGTCCAGCTCGCTCAGAACACGGCCTGACACTCGAACGACCGCTTGAACAAAGAGCGGTCATGAGCAACATGGGGAAAAAGATGGCCGTGTCGCCGCACGAAGAAACAGGAAAGAAAAATTCGGGGCTTTTATGGAGATTGAGCGTGGGAAGTGACTTAGGGCAGGTAGGATGCATGTCATTCCTGTTATTGATCCTATCGGAATGATTTGATCTATAAATCATTGATCGCTGGATCGCTGGGGGGCAATGTCGCTGTACGTGTGCGTCGACTGTGGCGGCTCCAAGACGTCTGCCGTCATCTGCGACGCCTCCGGCACAATCCTCGGCCGCGCGCTCGGCGGTCCCTCCAACTTTGCCTACCTCAGCCTTGCCCAATTCACCGCCGCCATAACCACCACCCTCACCGCCGCCCTTGCCGCCTGCCCCGCCTCGCTCAACCTCCCCACCGCCCTCCCACTCCTCACAACCGACACAAACCCCTTCGCCGCCGCGTCCTTCGGCGTCTCCGGCGTCGACTCCCCCGCCGCCATCGCGCTCCTCACCCCCACCCTCTCCGGCCTCCTCGGCATCCCGCCCGGCCCCGCACTCCGCATCGCAAACGACACGCACCTCCTCGCGACGCCCCTCCTCGCCCACGCAGACATCACGCATGCCGTCGCCGTCATCGGCGGCACGGGCTCCATCGCCGTGTCCTTCCGCCGGCGCGCAGACAGCGCCATCGACGAGCTCGCCCGTATCGGCGGCTGGGGCTGGATCCTCGGCGACGAGGGCGGCGGGTTCAGCGTCGGCCGCGAGGCCCTCCGCCAGATGCTGCTCGACTTTGACGCTGCGTCCGTCACGGGCCGCGCACCCCCGGAGAGCGCGCTCACGAGGCGCGTCCTTGAGAGGTTCGGCGTCGCGCACGTGCCGCAGATCTTGCCGCTTGTTCATCTGCCCGACGGCCCGGGGGGGATATCGGCGGACGGCGGCGGCGACGGCGGCGACGGGGCCGGGGCCGGGGAGGCGCCGGATGTTTTCTGGCAGGCACGCGAGAAACGGTTGTCGTCGTTGTCCCCGCTTGTGTTCGAGGCGGCGTTTGACCACGGCGACGCGTTTGCGCTGCGCGTCTTGAAGGTGTGTGCTGGGTCCCTCGCGCAGCAGGTGGCCGTGTTGCTTGGGGGTGGAAACGAAGATGCCCCGCGCGCGGTGAGAGCGGCGGACAGTGTGATTTCGTTTGGCGGCTCCCTCGTGGGCGTTGAGAAGTACAGAGCCCTCGTGCTCGATGACCTCAAGCGGAGGGGCCACGTATTCAGATACGTCGAGTTTATTGACGATGCGGCGGCGGTTGGTGCGATGGGTCTCGCGGCCGCTGCTCGTCCGCCGTGACTGATGTGATATGCTGTGAATTGATTTGGAAGTTGTTCTTTGTGCCTCTCTCTATCTACTTCGCTTGAGGTCGTGGCGCTGAGAATCCCTTGATTCCTCGTTGAGATGCCTTCTTCTTTGGTCTTTACCATATTCATCAGTGCTGTGCACAATGTCAACTGTCTAAATTTTCAGCTGTCCGGACTGCAGAGGCTGACAGTGCGATACTATCAAAAAAAAGTTCAGCTGTGATGGTTTCGGGTAATTTTATGCCTTCCCTCTTCGTTATACGGTTTGAGGAAGACCTGGACCCAGTAGTCGATTTATCGGACCTCAGATTCTTCGCTTCACCATCGTGTGGCATTCATTGGGAAATACTTACTATCCACGGTCAATTCGGCCACTTTCAGGGTCCTCAAGACTTTTTCAAAATTTCAATGTAGACTGGCTTCCGCTCGCTCTCTTCATGTAAGATTGTGTATACATATAGTTATGAGTAGAATATCATGGAATCTAACGTTTGTCCGGGTAATCATACACGAGTAGCTGCAATTCATGCTTATTGCCCTAATTTGGTAACCATCACGCCTTGCCGCCCAAGCCGGAACTGAGTTTCAATTTGTTGATTCCAATTAAGAGCTCCTCATTGACGCGTCCACATTACGCGCTCTCATTTCGCCTCATGGAGTTCGTGCGGAGCCCAAATTATCCTGATCGCTTCCTCGTACACGAGCGTTACCTGTGTGACTGGCCGAATCACTTGAGGACCCTGAAGGTGGCCGAATCGACCGTGGGGGGATAGTACGACGAGAGAATCAAACCCTCAAAACGCTCCATTACGATATCGGATACCTGATATAATC